ATCGTGAGAGATTCTGTTTTATGATTGCCGAAAGCATTAATCAATATGATGGCCAACCATTAGGTACTTTTAGCGTTGATCTCAAGAGAGGATGGTGCGATTATGGAAGGTTTCAAGCATTTCATTTACCTTGCTTCCATGTAATCGCAACATATGCTAGTATACGGCAGGACCACAACATGCACATATCATATGTTTTCAAGGTTCTGAGTGTATTCAAAGTCTACAACGAAAGCTTCCTTGGACTTCCACACCATAAAAATTGACCAACATATGAAGGATTCACTCTTTGTCATGACGAGACAATGCGAAGGAATAAGAAAGGGCGTTCAAATAGTACAAGAATTAGAACCCAAAGGGACGATCTTGAGAAAGAAAAGAGAAGATGTGGAATATGTCGAGAAATTGACCATATGCGTAGAAAATGTTCGAATGTAGCAGACCCGTCAAATTGGCTCGTCTAAATTAATTTATTTGTTTTTTAAATTATTTTTAAAAATATTTCTTAAATTGTAATGTCTATTATATAAGTTATTAATATTTTAAATCATCAAAATAGTTTTTAATATTTAAAAAACAATTAAATATATAAAATCATAATAAATATTTTTTATTTATATTTAAAAAAAAAAACAAAAAGGCTTTCAAAGGGTCGGCAATGGTTGGCCGAACCCCTTCATGGGCGAAAGTACCTTCATAGGTTCGTCCTTCCATTAGACGACTCCTATAAGAAATTATGGCAGTTTAGTACAATTTTTTCAACTTGTGGCAATTCAGTACTTTTTATTTCAACTAGTGACATTCATGTAAAAAACTCCAGTTTTGACTATTGCTTGGTATGGATAGCAAATCTTGATGTTCTATGCCCCAAACGTGATTGCACGTCAATAATTAACTTGTAATCCTCATTAAGCTTCAAAATATTTTGCTGAAACAAATACCCTAAAATGAGAAGATAAAATGCAGCATAAATTATCACATCAAAACCATTATTAACTCAAAGGCTATGGTGTAATTATAAGAAAATTTAAGATTATTATTATTATTATTATTATTATTCTCAACATTCACACTATTTTTAACTTCATACCATCATCATCATCCTTAAGATTTGCAATCCCTCTTATCATCTTCATATTTTGTAATTGAAGAAGATTTTAATATATGTTAATTTCTACACCATGAATCAAATAATGTATATGTTGAGAACTATTATAGGCTGGATAATGAAGTTAGGTCAAATTGTAAAAGTTAAGGTTGGTAATCATTTACAAATTGTGATCAATCAAAACATTCATCAATGAAATCAAAATATCTAGCGTAAACTTTATTTAATAATAATTTGTAAAAATTGCATGAATCAATACTCATCAAATTATATAAATTTAGTAATTCAAGATAAATTCATTTGCCTAATTAAAGAAAAGTTAATTAGTCGTGGTGTAAATATTTATAGCCAAAGAATTTGAGAAAAAAAATAAGTAAATTACAAGAAAAGAATTGAACTTTAATGATGATAAAGCATTAACCTTTGTCTTCTAGAACTCTGAAGTTGTCTCTCTATGATCAATATTTAGAATTCCTTTCTTTTAAACTAGATTTCCCCATGTATAAGGTTTGTGATCAGGAAAATTGTGCCACGATTTGATAGAATTGTAGTGCGATGACTTCATTGATCTGATGTGTCATGTTGAGATGAAGGCAAATCATGTTATAATTTGTTGTTGTTAGAAGTAATTCATTTTCAGTATTAGTTTTTGTTAAGCTTAACCTATTAGCATCTTGCCTACGTGACATTTTTATTTGTGTATATATTAATGTAGTTATCAATAGCAAGTAGTGCACAAAAAGCAACTAGTGGCGTAATCATTGTAACTGTTTTAGAAGAGTAGTGGAAGTTTGTTACTTTCAACTATATTTTCTCTCTCTTCCTCCATCTTCGTCTTCTTCATCTTGTGGACCAACAATTGATATCTAGAGCTCCGGTTCAGATCCATAGGAAAACACGAGTGAACAATGAGGCATTGTGTGATTGATTTCGTTTCTTGAATTTGTGTTGAATTTATTTTATTAAAAACCAGGTACGCCCTAAACAACTTCCTCGACTGCTTCAGAGATACCCAACTATGTCGGCCCTAAAAGGAATGCCGTTGAAGATGAAAGGTCCGGAAGAACAAGGCGAGCATGACACCAACACAAAGATATTCACAGACGAGCTCGAACGCCCGCATAAACGCAATCACGTTGGGATGAACATGCAAAGGAGCCAAAGTCAACCATTGGAACACCCTCTTCTGGATGTCACTGAAGGGAAGACGAAGCCCTACTTCTCGGAATATAAACTCATACATAGGGAACCACATCCCCTTAAACGACGAGCATATCCAATGACTCTCCCTAGGTTTGTAGACCATCTAATTCATTGTGGCCCCCTCTGCGAGATCTTCGACGGTCGCAAAGGCATTCAAATCGTTGACAGCAAAGCGCGAAGTGTTGTTGAGAGGCTCCTGCTCGGCCCAATCGGACGGCGAGCAGGCCTACATGACCTCGACCTCCTCGTTAACCAAATTGAGTTCGACTTCCTCTTCGATCATGATGGTGCCTTCGGGATTTGCGGCCATTTTACATGAAAAGCAGAGGAAATTGTGAATTCGACATCTAAGATCAAATCCACACTTCTACTGCAAGTCAAGTGAAAGGGCGAAGAGAGAGGACGAGGAAACACTCGACAAACTTCCTCGACAGAAGGCACCATGCCGGAAAGTGCACACCCTAGAGGAGACTCTCCTTGAAACAGAACACAAAACCTCCCTCCACGGGAGAAAGGTTCCTCCGGGCTTAAATTCTCCCCAGTCAAACATGGAAAGTCTCCCCGACTAGGGACTTCCTCGAGATACTCATACGTCCACGGGGAGAAAAGTTCCTCGACATCGAGTTCGCCGAGGACGCTAAGAGCCTCAGCTGTCCCCGAGACCTTCATCGTAGGGCCCCGAGGCCTTCATCGGAAACTTCACGTAGTTTCCCAGAATCCTCATGAACTCTCTGGCGTTTTCATCGAAAACTTCATAGTTTCGCCAAAAACTTCATGAGTTCGCTGGGAACTTCATGGGCTCCCTGGAGAGACCACCGGAAAGTGCATAACTCACCAAAAACATAAACTTTGGGAAAGGACAGATGAGTTACTTGTGCAAGGAGTCTAGAGTTGGACGGCGAAATAAGAAGTTAGCTAGGACGGCGACGGTGAACAGGTGAGAGAAGAGTATAGAGGATCTTGAGAAATTCTCTGAGTTATAAGGGAAGCGTGTAAAAGAACTGACCTTCCCCTCTATTTATAAATCCTAGCACGGGAAGCGAGGCGTTTTGTAGGCACTCAAGCACCTTACTCATAGCCGTCATATGCATTTATTGCTTTTGACACGTGGCACATAGAGACGTCACACGTGTCCCTTCGAGTTCTATCGCACAGCTCGAGGAAATGATGTGTCAACCCTTTTCACTCCCGTCGTACCACCCAACATGTCGAGGACAATGCCCGACTCATATGCTGCCATGAACACCTCCTCAAGAAGAGATGAAAGCAAACCATATATGCATGAGACGAGCACCTGCCCTCAGGATAAACAAATGGTCGACCCCGTCGTCGACCAAGGACATAACTCACTATCGAACACGATCAATGACTTTTGCGTCTGGTCCCCGATAGCCTTACGAGCTCGGCACCTCGAGCACGAGCGACACACCAGATAACCCATCTTTGACACAATAGTTGACTCTTAAGTCATTACTCTCACGCTTCGGAGCAACGACTTTGGGGGCTCTGTTCTAGACTGGACCAGAGGTTGACCCACAGTCGGGCACGACCCATCCAAACTCCCCGTCGAGGAGGGCCCAATGAAGGCCCAATTCATCAACTCACACAGGGAACACTCACGCGTCTCCCCCACGGTCTCCACGTGCTCCCCACGCGGGGACACATCATCAGTCAACTATCCGCGTCCGAGAGAACAGGTCTCCCACCTTCCAGATATCACAGGGCAGTTGGACCAAGATGAAGACCACATGTTGATCTTCCTTACGCCACGTAGATCCTGACAGTTATTCGTATTGGGCCTGGTGATCCAACCCAATGCTAGGGACACATTATAAATACTCTCTTTCACTAGAGGGTCAAATATTCTGTTCTCTACAATGTACTCTCTCTCTACTCCGTTTCTCACTTTGACATCGGAGTACCTTGTAGGTACATTCCCTCCTCTTCACTACCACCGACGAACTAAAAATTCACGACGCATTACTGCTGATCTCATTCGAATCCGATAAAATCATTTACAATACTAACTAGCTTAAGCAAACTTATACTATGAGACAAATTTGATATAAAATATTATGAAAAAATTCATAAGCGAGTATAAAAAAAAAGAGACTAAAATTTCGTTGTATGGCGGTGATTTTTTTGTTTCTCGTGTTTGTTGTAGATGATGTTGATCCTTAATTCTAAATTAACCAATTCAGTTCAACAAATCAAATGCTATATTTCATTCAATTTCGTTTTACTTGTTTTAAAACATAACTTAACTTATAACTGAAATGAACGGAAAATATAATTATTTACTTAATTGCAACATTAATAAAATAAAAAAAAAAAAAAGTAAAATAAAGATAAGATAACAGTAAAATAACAGTCCATATAAATTCTCTAACAAATTGTTCATTTCGTTTCGTTATCTTCTCCGTCTTGTTTTACGTAACCCTAGCTCCGAACACAACCATTCTCCGCCTCCTCAAACCCTAATCTCTATTTACGCCAATTTCACATTTTCATCTTTTCCCCAAATCCTAGATCTCAACCACGTCTGAAACCACGTTTGAATTTCAATATACAAAGAACCGATTCACGATTTTCCATAGAAGTTTCCGATTTTAATCGATTCCGATTCCCTCACTATTTTGATTTGAACCGACGATACAAACCGAAGTTGCTATTTTGTTGGTGATTGAGAATGGTTGGTGGTGGAAGCAGAAGGGACGATGGTTCGTTGGTAATTAACAACACCAATGTTTTTGCGGCGCTTGATACTTTGAAGAAGAAAAAGAAATCGGATAAGGAGAGAAAGAGCAAGGGTTCCAAATCGGTGAAATTGGAATCTGAATCTGATTCCAAAGTCTTTTGGGCTGTCGCCCCACTCAATGCAACTTCATGGGCTGATGTGGACGATGATGATGATTATTATGCCACCACTGCACCGCCTCAATCTGTTTGGTCTGTTTCCGACCCACAGCATAGTGAGGACAAACATGACAATTTTGAGGTTTGCTCATTTTTCGAAACCTGTTTTATTTATTATTAATGTTGTTGTTGATTGTTTATTCATACATTGATCTTTTTTCAGTTGCATTGCTTGTATTGTTGATGACTATTGATATGTAGGTTAGTTTGATTAGTTGTTATTGTTATGTTTTGTAGAATCTGTTTATTACAAAATGTTTATGTATAAGTTGAGTTACAATTGAAGAGCGAATAAGATGAAATTATGCAACTTTTTTGGTAGTTTATGAATATAAGTTGAAAACATGTTATAGGTATTTCGTAAGATATACCCTTAAACTCTTCAAATACTTGCCAAATTGCTTATATCAAGTAAAATCTTTGCGTGATACATGTCCTTTAAGCGCTTACATGGCTTTGGTTATAGGCTTATAGCTGTTCTTATTAGGATACCTGGATCATGATTATACTTGTGTGATATGTCCTTTACTCGCCTACTTGGCTTTTGTTATGAGTATTCTTATTAGGGTACTTGAATATTTGATGGTTTCTTCCGGGTAGTATTTTTGTCTTTGGGAGGATAATATGGTTTTGTTTAGTTCTGCTTAGTTTGTTCTAGTGCTATTGGCAATTAAAGTTCTGCTTTGGATCATGATTATACTTGTGTGATATGTCCTTTACTCGCCTACTTGGCTTTTGTTATGAGTATTCTTATTAGGGTACTTGAATATTTGATGGTTTCTTCCGGGTAGTATTTTTGTCTTTGGGAGGATAATATGGTTTTGTTTAGTTCTGCTTAGTTTGTTCTAGTGCTATTGGCAATTAAAGTTCCTTTGAGGGATAATTATAAACTTTGGATTGTCAATCACATTTTTCTATGTGCTAAATACCGGTGATAAAAGTATGCAGTGATTTGCCTATGTGCTCTCTTGGCGAGCTTTGTTCTATTGCTGCATATTGGCAACAAGAGTTTGTTTGAGTGATAATGATTAACTTTGGACTGTCTATCACATGTTTTTTTATGTGCTAAATGCCAGTGATATAAGTATGCATTGATTTGCCTATGTGTGTTCTCTTGGTGAGGTTTATTGCTTTATATGGTGTGATGAATCTTATGTTGTTCCAAATTTGATTTAAACAATTTTTAACAGGAGACTGAGAGTGAGGAAGATATTTTAGACGAAGGAGATGAGGAGGAGGAAGAGCAAGATCATGAACCAGAACCAGAGCATGATGTGAAACCTGAACATGAGCTTAAGAAGCATGCTGAAGTTCCTGTGGTACCAAAGGAGGCAGAACGGCAACTCTCCAAAAAAGAAAGGAAGAAAAAGGAACTTGAAGAGCTTGAGGCTCTTTTAGCTGATTTTGGAGTTGCACCGAAAGAAAGTAATGACGGTCAAGGTCAAGAGGAGTCACAAGGTAGTTTATTTAGAGCTGTTTTGTACATTATTGCTGGACTACTGTTTATTTTGTGAGTACAGGATATTGATTTGCTGTTGCTCATGACTTTGTTCTACGCTATTGGTCTTTCCCCGTTTGGGTATTTCATGCTTTTGTTCAAAGATCTACCCCCATTTTCTTCTTTTTTTTTTTTGCTGACAGGTTTTCGTTTCAATTATGAGTTGTTGTATTCAAGCATTTATAGTTTTTTTCCTAAGAGAAGAAAAATATGTGTGCATATCTAGATGCAATCACTATCACTCCAGGAAGCTTATTGTTGATTTCTTCAAATTGAAAATTTGTATTTACAGGCGCATCTCAGGACAAGAAAGGTGTTGATGGGGATGTAGATGGCGAAAAGAAAGAAATCGTTGCAGAGTCCAAGAATGCCAAAAAGAAGAAAAAGAAGGATAAAGCTTCCAAGGAAGCAAAAGAATCCAACGGTCGGCCCAACAGCTCAGAAACAAACAACAGGCCTGACATGGCCACGGGCACTGAAAATGCAGAGGAGGATCCATCTGTTGTCGATGTGAAAGAGCGTCTTAAGAAAGTTGCTTCTATGAAGAAGAAGAAATCTAGTAAAGAAATGGATGGTGCTGCTAGAGCTGCTGCTCAAGAGGCTGCCGCCAGGAATGCAAGGCTTGCTGCAGCAAAGAAAAAGGAGAAGAATCATTATAACCAACAACCTGTGCGGTAATATAACCTTGCCCTCCTTTACATCAATACAGGAATTTGTATTCCTTGTTCATATGATGATTCTGAATAAGCAGTTGGTTTTAGGCTCTTGGTGACTACTACTAAGTGGTATTGCAGTGATTCTGAGATATTGTCTTAAACTTTTTTGGATTTGTGCTGTTAAATTGTTATAGACTCACATTTTGGCACATAAAATTTTAGCTTAAAACTTTAGATGAACTACTTTTTTGTGTAAGGGGGGTTCTTATGGCCTTGAGAGAAGTTGAAGTATACTCTTGAATGTGCTGTATGCTGCTTATATTGGAGTATTAGTAGATTTTTGTTTTGGATTCAAACATAAAACTGGATTGCTAGTGGATCTCTATGTTCTTGTTATTTGATACGTGTTCATCAGTTAAATTGTTTTCATATATGTTACATAAGTTGTTTCGAAGAACTTATGAAAATAAGCTAGCAATAACTTGTATATAATGTCATAACTTATTTTTGTAAAAATTTCAAAATCTTCTCACGATACTAATCTTTGGGGATAAGTTCAAATAAGTCATTTTAAGTCAATGTTTGGTTCTATGTTTTAGGCGACCATAATTAATTTTGAATGTGTAAACTTGGTTGATATGATAGGATCCTTTTGAGTAGAATTGATTCACCGTAGAATCAGACATAAGTCAAATACGACTTCTAGCTTACTACTCCGTAACGGTTTATAAGAGAGAAAAAAGTAAGATTTCACATTTATTAAGAAAATTTAGAATTTTTGTGTCTTTTTTGAAGTATCTTTTTTTATAGGATAGATGTAAAAACAGTTTTGATTGATTGTAGTTTTTTTGATTGATTGTTGTTTCTGAAAAAAAAGAGAGAAATCAAATTAAATGCCATTTGCATTTAATTTTGCCAAGATGATTTTTTTAAGAAAAAGATGTTTAAATGAAATGAAGTTATGTTTTTCATTTTTTATTATTTAAAAAAAAAATAGTGTTTTGATATAAAACTGTTTTTGCTGATGTCTTTAGCTTATGTATTAACAAGGATACAATGAATGTTTTGATTATTATATTTGGGTGAGTCAAGTTAACCATTTAAAAATGACATGAAGCTCTTGGAAATGAATTCCCATCCAAAAAAGGTTCTAATGTTTTTATCATCACAAGCCGTTTGTGCTATTTAAAATTTACTGATAATGAAAATAATATAAAATTAATGTATAAGTGTAATAAACTATTTATGTGTACACACTTTGTCATGCACAATTTAGTGCTATAAAATTCTTAGTAATAATAAAATTGTCTAAAGTTGATATTTAATAGACCATATACACCTATTTTAAATTTAGAAAATGTGGTAAAATTAAATATTTATTAAAATTAATTTTAATAAAAATTTTAATAAAAAATTTAACATCTTGTTTACACTAATATATAAATATAGCTAAATGATAACCTTAAGAGTTGAATCTTTGAAGCTTTAAAAATTATTTTTTTTATTTTTTTTTATACACTTAGTTATGACCCGTCTACTTATTATTGTAATAATGAATTGAAAAAAATATAAATAAAACATAATAATAATGAGTTTGGCACAACTTCATAAAAAAATAGTATTTTGTGATGCTTCATAATTTGTAACTACAAAAACAAAAAATAATTAATCAACAATAAAATTAGTAATAGAAGAAAAAAATACATTTTATAATAATTTTAAATTCATTCCATTCACAGCCAACATCAACATCACCCACTTACATATCAAATTAACCTATTCATCTTTTACAAAACTTTATAAAAAAAATTAAAACTATAAAAGACAATATTATCATGTATCGTTTTTAAATCTTCAGGGAAGAATAATTTTTTAAATGGTAAAATCATAATATCAACCTAGTATTAAATGGTGGAATCCTAAGTTTTTACTTTTTAAGTGGATGTAAAAGAGGATAATGAGTGAGTCTTCTCTTCTATTTTCTTCTGCAAATGGAGAGAGTTAAATCAAAATTGAATTGTAATATCTCAAAATCAAACAAAAAGACAATGTAAATATCACTATATTTCTATAAGAGACAAAAAAAATGAATATTCTACACGTGACAATATATACTTCAATTCATCTTCAAACATTCATGTTTCAGAAATTAACTTCTTCAACATTATACTTGTTCAAAAATATATATTTTGTGATGTGTTAAAGTTCGTACTTACAAGAAAAAAATACACATAATAAAGAATTAAAAAACATTGATACAATTAAGAATAATGGTAAATAAGAATATAAAAAAAAGTGATAAGCATGGTTATTTTGGCTGCTTTTGAAAAAAACAATATGAGAAAGGGATAGAAAATTTGATGTAAATTTGGAAGCATCGTCCGTATTAATTAATGAAAGTTAAAAAATTAATATTAATTAATTATTAGTTAATAATTATAATGTGTCACTCATTAAAATCTAATTTTAATTTAGTTTTGACTGAATAACTTTCTTTCGTTATTTTCTCTGCACTCAGTTGAATCTCCTATCAATTAATAGGGTTCGTCAGCTCAGTTGTAAAGTACGTCAAATTTCTGAATTTTTAGAATCTCTCTTCTCCCTTTTATTCTCTTCATCTCAAATTATTTTTGTCCTTCTTTATTTTTCGAGTGGTTTATCGCACCATCAAGGACTGAAATTATTTTCAGATACGAGTGGTTTAAAACACCATATGGAGGTGTATCTCTAAAAACAATTTATTACAGTGCAAGTGATAATCGTATTTTTTAAACGGGTTGTTTTATCCTTGAGACGTCGTCGAGACATGACAACATTGCATAATTTTGACAGTACAACGAAAGGTTTTAAAGAAAGCGACCTAGTACGCGACTCGTCCCGAAAATTTTCTTTGTGGCAATTTTTCCAAAACCGAAAAAACAACAATTTAAAGACGCTTTTTATAACTATCATGACTACTGAGGAAATTATCGGTACTACTGCGGTCACTGTTGTCTCTGACAAACCATTTAATTTTAAGGGTTCTCATTTCAAACATTGGCAAGCTAAGATGAAAATTTTCTTAACTTTGAAGAAGGTTGCCCACGTTCTGACTGAGGATATCCTTATTGCTCCTTCTAGATCAACTGAACAAATTAATGGTAAGACAACTGCAGATTCAGACAAGACTCTCAACTCGTCTAAATTAGACTCTTCTGCTAAGACTAAGACATATGATTTACAGTTCCAGAAAGAGATTTTCATCTGGAAAGATAATGATTATCTTTGCAAAAATCACATTTTGAACAATCTTGCTGATGATCTGTATGATTACTACAGTAATTGTAACACTGCTAAACAGGTATGGGAAGCTCTGCAGAAGAAATATGATACTGAAGAAGCAGGTGAAATGAAATATGTTGTCAGCCCCTACCTGAATTATAAGATGATGGATGAAAAGTATGTGGAAGCTCAAAGCCACGAAATTCAGAAGATTGCTCATGAAATCATAACTAAAGGTATGCCATTCAATGAACAATTTCAGATTGCTGTGATAATTGACAAATTGTCCCCTGGTTGGAAAGATTTCAAAAATGTGCTTTGACATAAAACAAAAGAGTTTTTAATTGAGAGTCTGGACACTTGCCTCAGAATTGAAGAGGAATCTAGAAGACAAGATCAAAAGGATGAAGTCTTAGTTGTTTCTAACAACAAAAAGAGATCCGGTGTGGTTCTGAGGCCTACGAGCAAACCATAAAACAATTAGAACCACAATGTTGTGAACCGAATTAAGAATGAAAATCCCTCAAGGGGTCCATTTGCTTCGATTGCTAAACAACAACCACTAACTCAAAGAAATGGCGTTCCGGTTTTCACTTGCTTTAATTATAGAAAACCGGGTCATATGGCTAAGAGATGTAAGGGCAGGCCTAAACCTGTTGGATCTAATGTACAGGTTAACCTGACTGATGAGCAATTCATTTCTATGATCACTAAAATCAACATGGTTGGTGAAAGTGATGGTTGGTGGATAGACACTGGCGCCTCTCGTCATGTCTGCTTTGATTGTGCTATGTTCAAGACATACACGAATGCTGAAGATAAGAAAGTGTTGTTGGGATATGCTTACACCATTGATGTTGCTGGAATTGGAGACGTTGAGATGAACTTCACCTCAGGAAAGACTTTAATCTTGAAGGGCGTCATGCATGTTCCTGAAATTAAGAAGAATCTTATTTCTAGTTTTCTTTTGAATAAGGCAGGGTTTAGCCAGTCTATTGGGGAAAATTTGTACACCATCACTAAGAATGGTATTTTTGTTGGGAAAAGATACGCCACTGATGACATGTTTAAGTTGAATGTTGATTTGAATAAAATTTCTCCTTTTGTTTACTCTTTGTGTGCTTTTAATATTTGGCATGCTAGACTTTGTCACGTTAATAAGCGAGTTATCTCTAATGCAAGCAACTTAGACCTAATCCCTAAATTAAATGTCAATGATACAAATAAATATGAATATTATAGTCAAGCTAAAATTACTAATACTTCTCATAAATCAATTATTAAAAAATCTGATCCCTTAGATCTTAAACATTGATATATGTGAGTTACATGGAAGTTTAACTAGAAATAGTCAACGTTATTTCATCAGCTTTATTGACAATTGCTCTGATTACACTTATGTATACTTAATGAAGAATAAAAGTGAAGCACTTGACATGTTTATGATGTATGTAACTGAAATTGAGAATCAACTTAGTAAGAAGATTAAGAGACTTCGGAGTGATAGGGGAACTGAATACGATTCTAGGTTATTTAATAATTTTTATATTAAACATGGAATTATACATGATACTACTGCTCCATATTCTCCCGAAATTAATGGAAAGCGTGAAAAGAAAGAATAAAACTCTTGCTAAACTTGTTGTTGCAATTATGATAAATTTTGGTGCTGCACCTCACTGGTGGGGAAAATTTTATTGATTGTTTGTTATGTCCTGAATGGAGTTCCCAAGTCAAAAAGTAAGATCTCACCTTATGAGA